GAGAGAGAGATAGATGGTAACATCACAGTGGAGTCAGCTGCCTTAACCGTGGCTTGTGTACTGCAAACACATACCAGCTTCATCACTGTGTATACCAGCTTACTCTGTTCCCCTTTCGTGCTCTGTCTTTACATTTATTTTGAAAGATGAAGCTATTCTGTTATATATATATATATATATATATATATATATATTCTGTTACACTAAATACACAAAATAATGATCTTTAAAAAAGCATCATATGACCCCTGTAATGGTGTATTATTTTGATCATATCTTTCAGGGCATCATCCTTGTGTATGACATCACTGATGAAAAATCCTTTGAGAATATTCAGAACTGGATGAAGAGCATCAAAGAAGTAAGAGAGAAACAGGAAAATAAAATCTGTTAGTCATTATAGGAGTTTCTTTAAAAAAAAGGAATGCAGCAGATGATTAAACGAATTAGTGCTGATTTACCTTTTTACTTTTACAAGTGAACATATAACCCTTAGCATATTTCTATGTCCCATCGCTGCTTAGTTTGGACAGCTTGACCCATTTTGTTAGGGAAATAAAATCTAATATAAAATCTTAATGTGTGGGAATTGTGCCTTAGTAGTTGACTTCAAAGGTTTGGTATATTTCTTTTGTTATTATTATTATTTTTTAATGTACAGCATAGCAATTCAATCTTACTATTGCATATAGAATGATTATAATCATACATTTTCTTGCAACATCTAGAAAAGCATAAAATGAAACAAGCTTTATTAAATCTGAGTTTCAGTTCTTGATAAGATGTCATAGGAAGTAGGTTTCCAGAAAAGAGATGCCGTGTAAGTACAAATGGGGCCTTTTGTTATCAGTCTCGGTTATGAAGAAAATGAGGAAGTGAGTGTACTCTTATGTTCTGTGTTTCCCAGAATGCATCAGCAGGTGTAAGTCGGATGTTACTGGGCAACAAATGTGATATCGAGTCCAAAAGGAAAGTGTCAAAGGAGATAGGCGAAAAGGTAAGTGCTGTCATACATTCTGCCAATAAGCAGATCCAGGTGCATGCAAGGTGTTTTATTGGTGTTATAAATGGCTTTTCTGTCAGTTTGTTTATAGCATGTAAACATATCACTACATACCACATGTGAAGTTTGTTAATTTTGGTACTACATAAATGTTTTTTCAGCTGAAAACAAACTTTAAATTATTTTATTTAAAAAAGTGTTTGTCTTTTTTTCATTTATTATAGCTCGCAAAGGAACATGGTATTCGATTCTTCGAGACTAGTGCAAAATCAAGCATCAACGTTGATGAGGTATGGATTAATCGATTTAAGATATGTTCACTCAACAAACAAATTAACCCTTTTCTAGTTTTAGTTTTCTAGTTTCAGTCTAATGAATATCATTAGTTTATAGTCACAGTTCATCTTTATCTGTTATGCAGTTATCTGCATTCGTCTTGTATTCTGAATAGTGATTGTTTTGATATTGAGATCATTTATGAGTTTCAGTTGCAGAAATGTCTGTGACCGTTAATAATAAAAACATAAATAATAAATCCGTGCATTTCGGTGTGCTTAATTTTATGTAGTTAGTCTACTTTTTGACAGGATTTAACTTTCTCTCCATAGTCTTTTGCTGCTCTTGCACGAGACATTTCGCTGAAGTCAAATAAGAAGCCGGTGAGTTTTCAGTGTGTGATACATAAAATGGTTATTCATGCTTATTGTCTGCGTGCTCATACCGAAATAAACTTACAATCACTCTTACGTTTTTAAGTTCTAAAGTGATTAATCTCTTCTGATTTGTATTTTTTATCCTGACTGATAATCACATGATGTTGTTTTAATCAGACAGATCTAAAGATTAAGTTAACAAGAACAGTAACAAACCTACCGGGCTGCAAGCATTATATTACATTTCTTATGTTTACTGTTTTTACAGGGTCCATCTGGTCGTGAGGTTAAACTTACCAGCACAGAGAAAAAGTCCTCCAAATGTCTTCTTCTTTAGATATGCTTTTAAGCAGAGGATGGTCTCACTACACACACACACACACACACACACACACAGTAACATTGCAGTGTTAATGCCTGAAAGTTCTTTGCAAAGTGAACATGAAATGCTAATAGGAAGTGGGTTCAAAGGATGATGGCACTAGTAAGATATGAAATACATGATATGAGATATGAAACAGGGTACAGCTTTCATGTAGTTAGAGGAAAATCACATTTTTTTGTTACTTCATGTTTAGATTTTCGCACTACACAACGAAAACAGTGACTAGGCTACAATAGAGACAATGTTGGTTTTACTTGCACAACAAGTTTTGCTCAGTCAAAATGGAGAACAAGTACCTAATGAATTTCTATCTTTTGGCAACTTCAAGTGAAATATACAGTCCAGTTTGATGGCTAGTCATCACTTTTTGACAAATGGTTTGAATGTGCGTTGCTATAAAATTTGAACAACTTCAATTTTAAAGAATTTTACCTCTAATGGATGGTTAAGAGATTTTAGGATGATAAATGAGAAAATAATTTATGGATTATGATTGGGAATATAATAATATTCCACTGAAAATTCACAGTGTGTTTCTCCAAAAGGGATTATGGCCAGACATAATTCACATATTTGGTTTTGCATAATTTTTGAATCAAGTTTCTGTCTTCCTGCCGTATTCCACTTGTCTATATTCTTTTCCACAGCATATTTCTCAGAATTTGTACAATGATCTGCTTTTAATAAAGTAAATAATGTTCAAAATCTCGTACATTTGAACCTTTTTCCCATTTGTGCTAATAACAGTATAATAAATATGTATTGCTCACATTTTTTAGTTAACGACATAAATGTAACAAGTACGAAGCTATGTCTTTTGCGCATGCAAGCTTTCAGTTGGCATGAAGGGTCGCCAACCGTTGTGACTGTCGAAGTAGGTTGCCAAGCAACCGCCCACCCAGTGCAGCATCAGCACCTCGCTCTGGGTGAATGCGGTGCCGCATTGAACAAATATTACGGACACGTGCTACCATAATGCGCTGCATATTTGATCGTTCTAAAACGGAGTCCCGCTGAAATTGCATTGGATAACGTTTACATGGCGTAAAGACATTATGCGTGAATAACACACGTACGCAAAGACACTTCAAGTCTGACGCGATTACGTAGTGATGCTCATGTCCGGGATACGGACGGGACGGGAGTCCTCGTGACTGCGGGGGAAAAGGGGGAGCCTGAACCTCGGATAAAACTCCCTCAAAGGGAACACCATGGCTTTATATTTATTATTCAAAACAAGCGGTTGCATCATGGGAGCAGCATAGAGAGTTCTTCACAACAAACTGCCCCGCGTGCCTGTTTTCATTTCCTTTTGCTGTCGATTGTTCCCTTTTCTCTTCTGATACCGCTGTGCTTCATGAGACGTGTTTTCCGAGTTCAGGTGGGGGCTGTGAGGCTCTCTAGTGGAAACCCGGTGAAGATACACTTCGTTGAGAGCAGGACTTGGATTGATTTGTCCTCCTCCGCGGAGTAGCCAGAAGGCCAAAGCTGCTCCGCTCGCTTGCGGATGCGGCAGCTACTCGGCCTGCTAAAGGCTCTGGGTACCGCAATGCCGCGGGGATGGGGAGAGAAAGACGGCAAACCAGATCAAGGGATATTGGAGAATGCAAATATACGACGCCAAAAATAAATGTTGACACAACATAAGTGCGTTTCGTTGAGTTTTATCCGCTGTGGACTTAATGTTATATAGACCCTAACTGCATATCTAAAGAAGTATAGTCCCACAATTTAGGAAGTTTTTCAGTAGCCACCATGCCCTCACCGTCGGACTCCAGTAGCGTGGCCTCGATGTCAGGGTCTCGAGCTTTGTCTGGAAGTCGCAGAGGAATGTCTGGGCGGACCAGTGCGCGCGTGCTGCTGTACCTGGGCTTGTGTCACCTTGCGCTTGGGGCCATGGTGCTGGCCTTCAGCTTCACAAGCCTTGCTTTCACCTCATCACCCCGTGTTAGACAGTCCTGTCCTTTCTGGGCTGGCTTCTTTGTAAGTTTCTTTGATAGTTTCTTTGAATATAATTGGCATGACATGTTCTGTAGTGGAATAGTGGAACATTCATCTCTACTGTCAATCCCACAGTGCCATTTAAATACATTGCAATAAATACATAATAATAATAAATACATAAATACATTCCTCATTGTTGTTCCAAACCTGTATAAATATATTTCTACTGTGGTACGCAAAATACGATATTTTGAAGAAAGTTGCTAACCAAGCAGTTTTCATTATATGAAGAAATTTATTTTCTATTATTTTCTTAAATTTATATATATATATATATGTCAAGCTCCAAAATGACTAAAAAGCACCATGAGAGTAATATAAAAGTGGTCAATGCATCTTTTGCTCTGAAGCTATTTCATATAGGTTTGTGTGAAGAACTGAAAATCTATCCCTTAAACATGTTTTTGTTCTGTTAGGTTGTGGCATCAGGAGTAGTGGGTGTGATATCATGGAGGAGGCCCTTCACTCTTGTTGTACGCATCTTTATCATCTTGACAGGATGTCTGTGTGTTTGTCTGGTCCTCTTAGTTTCTGCAGTGATGCTGTTTTTGTTTCGTTCAGGTGTCGCTGTTCATGCTGCTGTCTGCAGTGTGTGTGATTCTCAGTCTGGCTGGTTCCATGCTCTCATGTCAGAATGCACAGATGGTCAAATCTTATGTTACCTGTCAGGTACATTCTCTTCTCTTCTCTTCTCTTCTCTTCTCTTCTCTTCTCTTCTCTTCTCTTCTCTTCTCTTCTCTTCTCTTCTCTTCTCTTCTCTTCTCTTCTCTTCTCTTCTCTTCTCTTCTCTTCTCTTCTCTTCTCTTCTCTTCTCTTCTAATCAAATAATATCTGTGTGCTTGTTGCAGATGGAGAATCGTCTGTGTCTTTGCTGTGACCCCAAGCAGACATGCTCTCTAACAGAAGATGAGACACTAGTGCTCTACCAACATACAGACTGCCACTCTGTGCGTCACCAGCTCAAGGTGGGGTCCCTTAACTCTTATAGGGTGTTTGGGATGGTCCCAGCCCCCCAAAACAAACACTCAAGTGTCTGGATAAATTTGAGTTTAACCATGATATTATATGTGTGTGCAGGATCTGCTGTTCAGTGCGTGCGGTCTTAGTATTCTCTCTACTATTATCTGCACTCTGTCTACGGTCACCTGTAGCATTCATATCTTCTCTCTGGACCTACTGCATCTAGTGAGACAAAATGCACAAAACCTTTGCACTAAAACACTTTGTTTTAATCGCTGTATTTTTCTCTCAAATGCTACAGTGCGTAGATAGACTCATGACCCTTTATCTCATCCCACTCTGTTTGTTGTAGCTGGCTCCTCATCGCTCTCGCTCTGTAAACCCAGAATGCACCACTCCTCAGGATGCATTTCTCAGTAACATGATGGACTTTGAGGAGTTTGTTCCACCCATTCCACCACCACCTTACTACCCTCCTGAATACACCTGCAGCTCAGAGACCGATGCCCAGAGGTGAAAATACACACACAAACACACACTTTTTTGCTTTTGTTTTTCCATCATTTTGTGCACTTTCCATTGACTTTTCTTGTTTCATATTGCGCTAATAAAATCTCCTAACTCTACCTCTAATACGAAACCTTTAAGAAAATGTTTTTTTAAAAATTGAAATAGTATTTGGTATGTTTAGTAAGGTCGCTTACATACTTGAGATGCTCTGACAGAATATTGTTCAGTTAAAGTGTTCTCAGTGTAGATGTTCTTGAAATATTTGTGTTCTGTCTTTTTTCTCAATAAATTTTTTTGTTCTTATAGGCATCTGTCCATTTTAACTACACTTCTTCTGTCATGCCTTTTCTTTTAATAATGACTTTTTCTCATGCCTCATTTTTCTGTGTGTACCTGCAGTGTCACATATAATGGATCAATGGGGAGTCCAGTGCCTCTGTACCCAACGGACTGCCCTCCTCCTTATGAGGCAGTGATAGGTCAAAGGGCTCCCAGTCAGGTACATGAGAGCATTGAGGGGTGTAAAGATGACTTGTTTAAACGGAAAATAAAATTAAATGCAATGTTTATAGAAATTAATGATGTTTTATGATTACTATTATATGGAGATTATATATATTACATGACATGCAAGAAAAAATTTATAAATCGTGCCCACGATTTACTAATTAGTTCCCTCGATGTACTAAAACGTGCACACGATTACCATTTCGTTTCCTCGATTTGCTAAATCGTGCGCACAATTAATAAATCGAGGGAACGAAATAGTAAATCGTGCACATGATTTAGCCTACTAATTTTTTCTTGCATGTCATGTGCGGGGCTCCGTACTGTTATTATTTAAAAAAACAATAATATAATTATATATTTTTTATTTATATTATTATTACAGCCAATGTCTAATGTGTTTTCTTAACTTATTCAAACCAAGAGTTTTTAAATGTTTTTTTTAATGCTGCATTAATTGGATTAAAAAAAGTTAAAATAGTAATATTGTGAAATATTATTACAATTTAAAATGTCTTATTTTCTGTTAATATATTTTAAAATGTAATTTATTCCTGTCTTGCCAAAGTTGAATTTTCCAGTCTTCAGTGTCACATGATCCTTTAGAAATCATTCTAATGTGCTGATTTGCCGCTCAAGAAATAGTTATTATTATCAATGTTTAAAACAGATGTGCTGCTTAATATTTTTTGTGTAAACAGTGATACTCTTTTTAAGAATTCTTTGATGATAGAAAATGCAAAATAACAATTTATTTTGAAATAGAAATATTTTGTAACATTATAAAGGTCTTTACTGTCAGTTTTGATTGATTTAATGCATCCTAGCTGAATAAAAGTATTAGTTTCTTTTAAAAATGTTCATGGTATCATGCATCTTTGCATCATTTTGTAAATAATTGTATTTATCATCATTTTGTAATACTGTGGTCATGATGTCACTCTCACTGTTCGTAGGCCACAGTGTTTGACACTCAAGCCGGTGAGCTGTCTGGAGAGAGAGGAACATCCACAGCATTCAGTGGGGAAGGTGAGTCTTGCCTCTCTTCTGTTCATCCTTTAGCAAACTGTTTTCACCTGGTATTAAAAGCATAGTTCACCCAAAAATTAAAATTCTGTCATCATTTACTCACCCTCAAGTTGTTCCAAACCTGTATTAGTTTCTTTCTTCTATTGAACCTAAAAAATGAGGGTAAGCAAACAGTAGTTGGTCCCCATTGATTTCCATAGTATTGGAAAAATTAAAAACTATGGAAGTCAATGGGACTAGAAACTGTACAACTGAATTACTTGAGCGTGAGTAAATGATGACAGAATTTTCATTTTTGGGTGAACTGTCCCTTTAAGCTCCTCTCCTCTCCTCTCCTCTCCTCTCTTCAAATAATATCCATGTGTTTGTTCCAGATGGAGAATCGTCTGTGTCTTTGCTGTGACGTCAAGCAGACGTGCTCTCCAACAGAAGATGAGACACTAGTGCTCTACCAACATACAGACTGCCACTCTGTGCGTCACCAGCTCAAGGTGGGGTCCCTTAACTCTTATAGGGTGTTTGGGATGGTCCCTGCCCCCCAAAGCAAACACTACACTCAGGTGTTTGAATACATTTGAGTTTAACCATTATATTATATGTGTGCAGGATCTGCTGTTCAGTGCCTGTGGTCTTAGTATTCTCTCTACCATTATCTGCACTCTGTCCACGGTCACCTGCAGCATTCATATCTTCTCTTTGGACCTAATGCATCTAGTGAGGCAAAATCCACAAAATCTTTGAACTAAAACACTAGTTTTTAATAGCTGAATTTTTCTTTCAAATGTTACAGTGTGTAGATACACTCATGACCCTTTATCTCATCTCACTCTGTTGTAGCTGGCTCCTCATCGCTCTCGCTCTGTTAACCCGGAATGCACCACTCCTCAGGATGCATTTCTCAGTAACATGATGGACTTTGAGGAGTTTGTTCCGCCCATTCCCCCACCACCGTACTACCCTCCTGAATACACCTGCAGCTCAGAGACCGATGCCCAGAGGTGAAAATACACACACAAACACACACTTTTTTGCTTTTGTTTTTCCATCATTTTGTGCACTTTCCATTGACTTTTCTTGTTTCATATTGCGCTAATAAAATCTCCTAACTCTACCTCTAATACGAAACCTTTAAGAAAATGTTTTTTTAAAAATTGAAATAGTATTTGGTATGTTTAGTAAGGTCGCTTACATACTTGAGATGCTCTGACAGAATATTGTTCAGTTAAAGTGTTCTCAGTGTAGATGTTCTTGAAATATTTGTGTTCTGTCTTTTTTCTCAATACATTTTTTTGTTCTTATAGGCATCTGTCCATTTTAACTACACTTCTTCTGTCATGCCTTTTCTTTTAATAATGACTTTTTCTCATGCCTCATTTTTCTGTGTGTACCTGCAGTGTCACATATAATGGATCAATGGGGAGTCCAGTGCCTCTGTACCCAACGGACTGCCCTCCTCCTTATGAGGCAGTGATAGGTCAAAGGGCTCCCAGTCAGGTACATGAGAGCATTGAGGGGTGTAAAGATGACTTGTTTAAACGGAAAATAAAATTAAATGCAATGTTTATAGAAATTAATGATGTTTTATGATTACTATTATATGGAGATTATATATATTACATGACATGCAAGAAAAAATTTATAAATCGTGCCCACGATTTACTAATTAGTTCCCTCGATGTACTAAAACGTGCACACGATTACCATTTCGTTTCCTCGATTTGCTAAATCGTGCGCACAATTAATAAATCGAGGGAACGAAATAGTAAATCGTGCACATGATTTAGCCTACTAATTTTTTCTTGCATGTCATGTGCGGGGCTCCGTACTGTTATTATTTAAAAAAACAATAATATAATTATATATTTTTTATTTATATTATTATTACAGCCAATGTCTAATGTGTTTTCTTAACTTATTCAAACCAAGAGTTTTTAAATGTTTTTTTTAATGCTGCATTAATTGGATTAAAAAAAGTTAAAATAGTAATATTGTGAAATATTATTACAATTTAAAATGTCTTATTTTCTGTTAATATATTTTAAAATGTAATTTATTCCTGTCTTGCCAAAGTTGAATTTTCCAGTCTTCAGTGTCACATGATCCTTTAGAAATCATTCTAATGTGCTGATTTGCCGCTCAAGAAATAGTTATTATTATCAATGTTTAAAACAGATGTGCTGCTTAATATTTTTTGTGTAAACAGTGATACTCTTTTTAAGAATTCTTTGATGATAGAAAATGCAAAATAACAATTTATTTTGAAATAGAAATATTTTGTAACATTATAAAGGTCTTTACTGTCAGTTTTGATTGATTTAATGCATCCTAGCTGAATAAAAGTATTAGTTTCTTTTAAAAATGTTCATGGTATCATGCATCTTTGCATCATTTTGTAAATAATTGTATTTATCATCATTTTGTAATACTGTGGTCATGATGTCACTCTCACTGTTCGTAGGCCACAGTGTTTGACACTCAAGCCGGTGAGCTGTCTGGAGAGAGAGGAACATCCACAGCATTCAGTGGGGAAGGTGAGTCTTGCCTCTCTTCTGTTCATCCTTTAGCAAACTGTTTTCACCTGGTATTAAAAGCATAGTTCACCCAAAAATTAAAATTCTGTCATCATTTACTCACCCTCAAGTTGTTCCAAACCTGTATTAGTTTCTTTCTTCTATTGAACCTAAAAAATGAGGGTAAGCAAACAGTAGTTGGTCCCCATTGATTTCCATAGTATTGGAAAAATTAAAAACTATGGAAGTCAATGGGACTAGAAACTGTACAACTGAATTACTTGAGCGTGAGTAAATGATGACAGAATTTTCATTTTTGGGTGAACTGTCCCTTTAAGACATGTTTTTGGTCAATCAGTCACAAGTGGACAGCCAAGATGCATTCTTGTTTGCACCGCATGGTATTAACGTGCATTTCAATTGTGCCTCCTCTGATCACTTATGTTCAGATTTTGTCAAGACATCCCTTTTTTATGTACCATCCTACATCACGGGAGTTCCAAGTGCGTATGAATACTATTAAAAGGATAGTTCACCCAAAAATGAAAATTACCCCATGATTTACTCACCCTCTAGGTGTATATGACTTTCTTCTTTCAGATGAACCCAGTCGGAGTATTTAAAAATATCCTGGCTCTTCCCAGCTTTATAATGCAGGTGAATGGGTGTTATATTTCATTAGTCCAAAAGAAGTCCAATAAAGTGCATCCATCCATCCATCATAAAAAGTGTCCCAAATGGCTCCGGGGGGTGAATAAAGTCCTCCTGAAGTGAATTGATGCGTTTTTGTAATAAAAATATCCATATTTAAAACTTTATAAACCGTAATCGCTCACATCCACTAACTGTCGTACGCGCGTTCACAATAGAACGCCTTTCCGGCAGATGACATAGGACGTAGGCATAGCGTAAGCTCTGGTGAGAAGTGAAGAACGTGGAAGCGCAGAGGAGAGAGCAAAACAAAACACCGGTCACGAATTAGAAGTACAAAAAGAGGATTTGTAAAGAAAAATGTTGGAGGATTTCAATATAAGCCAAGAAGAGACTGGTTTTACTTTGCTAAACAAAGGAAACTGCTTCCTTTGCTCCTGTGAACAAAATCTTGGTTCTTGCAAGACTAGCATATTCTCACCGGAGATTACACTATGCCTACGTCCTACGTCATCCACTGGAATGCGACTTGTATGCATGTACAACAGTTAGTAGAAGCTAGAGCTTACTGTTTATAAAGTTTTCAGTATGGATATTTTTCTTACAAAAATGCATCGATTCGCTTCAGGAGGCCTTTATTAAGCCCCGTAGCCGTGTGGGACACTTTTTATGATGGATGCACTTTATTGGACTTCTTTTGGGTTATTGAAAAATAACACCCATTCACTGCCATTGTAAAGTTTGGAAGAGCCAGGACATTGTTTAATATAACTCTGATTGGATTCATCTGAAAGAAGAAAGTCATATACACCTTGGATGCCTTGAGTGTGAGTAAATCATGGGGTAATTTTTGGGTGAACTATCCCTTTAAATGACCAAACTATGTATATGTGTGTACATTTTGTATATTCTCTCTCTCAGTGTCAATGGACAGTGGCTCTCTATTGATGTCTGAGATTGTGGATATTCCAGATGACAGCTCCCCATCTGAGGACTCCTGCCTAATGGAAGTGGGTGTCGGTATGCGGGCACGGCCACGGGGGGGCAGCGAGGGAGGGGAGGGGGGAGAGTACGCCAGCCTCCGTTCTTCCGCACAACATCCCGAGGGAATGGTGGCCGCTCCTTCCGGAAGGCGTTGTTTCAGAGGCGAGAGATCGAACTCCTGCTCCTGCCCGAGCTCGTACAACACCTCTACCTACAGGTAGGAAAAAGTTGAGTCTTTAAACCTTTGACGCATACAATCACACCAGTGTGATTAGAACATTTAGTGCATCACATGCTAAATACAATTCTGGTTTCATGCTTTGGCTGGTGCTGAGCCAGAGAAGGATGTGTTCAGTGCTTGTCTTGTATCACAGCTATTCAGTGTTTTCAACCACAACATGTTCAGACCTATAAAGTCACATAAGTACTACACTAAAAAAACATTGTAGAAATAATTATTGCTTGTAAATGGCTAGTAGGATTTCACAAATACTTACAAAGAAATGGCAGGTAAAAAATTTAAGTAGAATAACTGAAATAATATTTTCTTGTAAAACATACTTCAATAATCTTACTAAAGTCTTCACAGTGTAGAAAAAAATAAGTTTTTAAAATACACTGATGTCTATGGAAGCATCAATAATAATTCTTTCAAACTTAATATGACAAAGTGTTTTATTCACATCAGATACAAATTGTGTAGGGAACTGTAAGTAGAATAACTGAAATAATATTTTCTTGTAAAACATACTTCAATAATCTTACTAAAGTCTTCACAGTGTAGAAAAAAATTTAAGTTTTTAAAATACACTGATGTCTATGGAAGCATCAATAATAATTCTTTCAAACTTAATATGACAAAGTGTTTTATTCACATCAGATACAAATTGTGTAGGGAACTATAAAGTTTACTTTGTTCTTCTTCTAGTTCACTGGCCACTTACTTTGTCTTTCAGGAGAAGTGGATGAATTTAAATCCAACAGCTCTCATTGCATAGAAAACTAACATGGTGGCACCCATTGCCTTTTATAGATCAACCAACATTATAGAAGTGTTTAACGGACAAAATACATTTACATTAACATATTTGAGAATCAGAATACCAGATATTTCACAATATGGTTAGAATGTTTGTGAATATTTAGAAAAATAAAAATGAAATATAACCGATACATCAAATATAACTGGTGATACATTTTAAAATATCCGTTGCCTTAAGGTATGCTGAGGGTTCAGTTAGATTTTTAAACTGTCGTTTAAAAGGGTTGTTAAAATTGTTAAATAAAATCACTTTTCAGCAGAAAATTTCCTTCACAATTTCCTCCACAGGTCTCCAGTGTTGAGGCGTCAAGCTCTGTTGGCGAGTAGCTGCTCTCAGTTGGAGTTCTTAGCAGGATCTAAACATTCCTGTATCCCAGAAATCCGAGTTCGGCCCTGCACACCCTCCCGACAGGACTCCTCATCTGCATTCACTAACCCACCTACCGCAGCCCCATCAGGTCCTGCTCAAGACCGGCCGGACCATACAGTACCGGTGCTCCTTCTGCGGCCAGGTTTCCGTGAGCAAATTGGACGTGATAGAAAAGACAGCGACGGCTTCTTACCTCTCTTGAGGTCACACAGTGAACCAGGACTTAGCACTTCAACTGACACAGGTATGAACATACATATGTAACAGACTACATTTGTCTGGGATTTACGTGAAAATGTGAATTTGTGTTCGCCTCTGTGTTACTGTTTTCTTCAAACCACTCTGCAGAATGACGATAACGTGTTTTTGTGTGTGCTCTTCTGTCCTCAGGTGATTTCAGTCACTCAGGAGGCAATAAAGGAGTCAGTGAGGGGGGATCGCAGACCACATCAGAAACAGGTAAGAGTTTAGCACTCTCATGTCACAGAGATGTTTATTATATAGGATTACTACAAGAGAGAAACACAGTGTTATTTTAGTTTTATTGTGTACTATTATAGTTTTTATTAAACTTTTATTTGAATGCATCTCAATAAATTAGAATGTCGTGGAAAAGTTAATTTATTTCAGTAATTCAACTCAAATTGTGAAACTCGTGTATTAAATAAATTCAATGCACACAGACTGAAGTAGTTTAAGTCTTTGGTTCTTTTAATTGTGATGATTTTGGCTCACATTTAACAAAAACCCACCAATTCACCATCTCAACAAATTAGAATATGGTGACATGCCAATCAGCTAATCAACACAAAACACCTGCAAAGGTTTCCTGAGCCTTCAAAATGGCCTCTCAGTTTGGTTCACTAGGCTACACAAGCATGGGGAAGACTGCTGATCTGACAGTTGTCCACAAGACAATCATTGACACCCTTCACAAGGAGCCACAAACATTCATTGCCAAAGTTTTTATTTTAATTTACAATTTTTTATAATAACCATGGTAACACATAATAAATGTATATTGTAAACAAATTTAAAGGAGTCATATTATGAGAGATCAAATTTTTCAAGCTCATTTCAAGTTTCAGAACTCATCACTTGCACTTTATTTAAAAAAATTAAAATATTGAGACTGAGTTTGTTCTATGTTTCTTGGAAGATCAGAAATGCCTACTTATTAATGCATGACCACCTGCATTTATACGGGTGACACCAGAACAGTGATAAGAATAAAATGTGGTTAAGTCTATCAAACTTTTTGGTTGGAAGAAACCATCCTTACAAACAAGCATGTTTTTTAGTTTTACTTTTAACAAGATCCCTGATCAATTCAATAATTTCAAAGGTAAAAAATAATAAAAATGACAAAATCACATAACAACATTACTCAAACTTTAAGTATAATATAAAAACTAATTTGAAATAAATAATTAATAAATACTATAATAGCATATAAATAATACCAAAATAACATGCAAAGGTAAAAATAATTATTTATTTTAGATTATTATCATTATTATTATTATTATTATTATTATTATTTTAATAACAATTCTGCTCCCTGCTCACTATATTTGAATACTTTGTTTGTGTTACCTTTGTGGCAAAGGGGTATCGTCTGGAGCTGGTTTGCTGCCTCGCTCCTCTTTTGCACTTCCTGCTTCCCTGCCCAGAAAAGGCAGCATTAAGACTGTAAGTACCCGGTTGCCCTCAAAACAAGTTCCAGCCACCTCGCTGCGTTTACCCAAAGACTGTGCACGCTCTCTTGGAGACCTCAAGGTTAGTCTTTTTGATGTCAAGGACCCCGAAATCTGCCGATCTCCCTTTTCTTCCCAATATTGCCGTAAATGTTAGTATAAACAAGCAGACAAACATTTTCGATTTAAATTACAGGTCACCAAAGTTTTAGTGCAACGTTTCCTGCAGAGATCCAAACGTAACTTAGCCCTTGCAACTGAACATGCTGGAAACTGTACTCAGGGGCCTAAAAGGAGGACAGGAAGTGAAGGCCTGCCATTAGAACAGGTAAAACATTGCCAGTACCATAAATAAAATAATTCTGTGTAGTGCGTTTTAGGATAAAATGACCCATTACATGTTTCTATGAAGGTGCTTCGTAACTCTCTGGGGACCAACAGGGGGCAGCAGCAGCACGTCCACCACCACTGCCGTGGACACCATCACTCCCATAGTGACAGTCGCCATAATGCCCCCCGCCGCCATGATGATGACCCTGTAAGGGCCGGGGGAATCCACTTGCGTAGCTGCGGAGACCTCAACTCGACATCCATTGCATCACTGCGCAGACTCCACCCACCGTCACACGGATCATCTGGGGCTCTTTACTCAGAATCTGCCCTCTGAAATGAGGCGGGGGATTCTGGAATGAATCACTGCTGGATTCTGGAGAGGGGCAGAGAAAATTTAAGGAAAGAATGACAGGTGGGAAATAGGTTTGGATTTAGCTTGCAGAAAGGGTGATTTGAAGGGTGTTTGAAAAACAGTATATGTACCATTGGTGAAGTTTTCAGCTGTTCTTACTGTAATAAAAGACCGAACAGTACACCCGATATAATGGAGTTTAACCCTTCAGACCCGCTGCTCTCTGTGCCAGACAAACTCTGGTCCTTCTTTTATATTTCCATTTATTTTTTGCTCCATCTAGTGCTTTTTTTCTCGCTCACTGTTTACATGGATATGGAAAGAATGCAGAACCTCTGACACTGTTCCTTGTCTTCACAGCTCATTAAAATGCACTCATGCAACAACAAACATACAACCATATGTTTGGCTGTAACTATGTTTTGAACTTGGGGTAATTTAAAGGAATTAAATAATTAAAAGGAATTAAAGGAATAATGAAAGGAATTAAACGATTTCAATGGATTTAAGGGAATAAACAAAAAGAAAAAGAACAGTATAGTAACAGTAAAAGTTAAATATTTGAAAATTTAAATATTTGCAAATATTATTTTAATTTAAAATAGGCACACATTAATTTTTTCGTTTGCCTAATATGTCGAAAATGTAAAATGTTTCATATTTCGTCACATTCAATTATGCATTACTTGAATCACAGAAATGATTCAGAAATTCAAAATGAAAATGAAAAAAATTGTCAGTTGTCAGATAGTAAATGTTGAACTACTTTCAAATTACCTCACATTCTTTCACTGTTAAAGACTGAAGCATCATGCTGGAATTCATGTTCGGTATCTGTGAAGTGAGGACTGCCGCCTTGGTTTTAAAAGGCCATCTCAATCATTTTGACATTGATGAGAGCTGTTAGACCACTAATTTGCATCATTGGATTTTACTGTCAGTCATTTAGCATTTCGGTCTTAAAACAGTTGTCAGATAGTAAATGTTGAACTACTTTCAAATTACCTCACATTCTTTCACTGTTAAAGACTGAAGCATCATGCTGGAATTCATGTTCGGTATCTGTGAAGTGAGGACTGCCGCCTTGGTTTTAAAAGGCCATCTCAATCATTTTGACATTGATGAGAGCTGTTAGACCACTGAGGCAGACCAGCCTAAGATGTAATGTTTTAAAACTTTTTGTCATCCGAACAACAAACAGAGCAATATAAAGAATATCAAATATTGGGAGGGACAGTTTGGCCATTTCTAAATATTGGATTGCGGGGTTTCTATGATGGTTACGGCCCTGCAAACATACACACTCAAATGTGGTGTTAACTCTTTTGTAACAAGCCACTAAACGCTTTTCACTCAACACTTTTCACTAACTGACCATAAATAATTCAAAAATCATCTTACATAAATAATACGGCTGTTTTAACCTTGCATTGTCTCAACAGCTTTTTTTTTTCTAAAACAAGATATTTTAATTGGAGCTTTGATATTTTGCGTCTGTCTGTCTCTCATGGTGTGGACTCTAGCTTCCCAGCCTGTGTAATACTTTTCTAGAATGCCTCTGCATGTATTGAGAAGGTTTGTTTTCTTTTTTTGATTGAACACCAAATGCACTAACACACACACTAAAACAAGATATTTTAATTGGAGCTTTGATATTTTGCGTCTGTCTGTCTCTCATGGTGTGGACTCTAGCTTCCCAGCCTGTGTAATACTTTTCTAGAATGCCTCTGCATGTATTGAGAAGGCTTGTTTTCTTTTTTTGATTGAACACCAAATGCACTAACACACACAGATACACAAACATGCTTGTGACAAAACTAGATGCCACTAATGCAAAGAAATGTTTGAGGGAATTTTGGATTTTATAATCCAGATGATTCTCTGGCAATAAACATACTTGCCCAGTTATGTAGACATTGAACTATTACAGGAAGTTGGGACCTTGTATTGATCGATACCTATGAAAACTGAACTCTCACTGGAAGTGAGACAATAAACCCTGTCGATCTGATACGTTCAAGGATTTTTCAATGTTCCGGACAATTTGGGAATAAAACATTGGAAAGACAGCTCCGGACTTCTGCTGTATCTGGCTCTGTTGTATTCGGAAATGGATGTACATCTGAAGGAATAATTGCAGTTGTCAATTGTTTAGAAGTGCTTTTGAATGCTAGCTAATGGCTTTGAATCAGTAGCAATGTTGCTAAATAATGCATTAATACTATATGTAAATAACTTTGATGCACGGACTCTTACCCTCACACACTTCTGCAACTTTGAAGCACTGAAACCAAGTCTGAAAAAGAGCTTGATATTCTACCTCTTGTATTGCATACACTGACATGTTATGGCCTAGTGGAATATTTTAATTAATTTAAGAATTGTATGGACTATTTATGAAACAACTTCTACACTGACTGATGAAAATACTGTTATTCTGGGAATATGATGCCTAAAAGAACATTTTAAACAGCTCTACTTCATGAACGTTTAATGCAAGTTATGTAAAATCACAACAATAAATGTATAAACATCAAATGTATCATGTTCTCAGGTGTTATCTCTACTTTTTCAACACTCAAAAATATACATTTAGATTTTCGAAAGGTAAAAATCTCTGGTGAGAAGTAGTGTCTGATCTGTGTATAAATTGTTCTTCTGAGTCATATCTTTTAAATGAATCGTTTGAACTGGTTCACGAAACCGGGCTGAAGCTAGAGAGCTCCTTGTGCTGAACCAGTGGTTTCACTTGGCAAAATGTTGTGAACTGCGATATGACATTTCATTTAATATGAAAATGTCCAATATTGTTCCTGAGACATCCAGACACAATGAAAGAGCAAAGATCCTACCTTTGATACGATAATCGTGATGTGATATACGCTATTTCAGTTTTATTTCGATTAATTGTGCAGCTCAATTTAATTTAATGTTATATCCGATTTTATTAATTTATTATTATATTTACCCTGAGCTGAACGACATGTTCACAAATCACTATTATTAAAGCCCAGTCAATGAACTGCAATGACGTAAATACATCAAGACGCTAAGAACCTCTGTTCTTTGAAACGAAATGTTTGAAAGAACCGATTCTTTGAAACGAAATGTTTGAAAGAACCGATTCTTTGACACGAACTGAACCTCCCATTCCCGTCTTATGTGCACGTAGTAGCCTACTTTTATTTTGAAACTGAGGTTTCTTACGTCGCATATGAAGATGTAAATGTTGCGCGCCAGTTCGTACAGTTCAGTTTTACAGCCCCAGTATAAGAACTGATAAGTTTTGATTCGGTAGAAAGCGACAAGAATTGAAATGTGGAAACTGCAACCAACCGAGTCTAGAGGTAATGTTTTAATGACTCGTTTATTCAGTGTTTTAGTGCACTGCGGCAGTATGTATAATCCAGACCAACTATAAACCAACTGCACAGCAGTAACAATGCTCATGTAATGTGTTCTTGTTTACATAACGTGTTTATGTTTAAAGGATGACTTCTAAGGGCTTTTAAATACAGCTTCACCTCATATCTCACAAGGCGTTAATTTCTTTAGTTAAACTGTTTTATAGTATAAGTTTTGTCTTGCGTAGGCATAGAGAGGTTGAGTACATAATTACAATGTAGGTTGTGTTATGACATTCAGTATGCTAACATCAGATTTGACCAGTTAAGTTAGTGAGAGTATTTGTTTTGTTCCTGGTCACGATTGTAACTAGAGTTGAAATTACTCATTTTCTCAGTAAGAGAAGACCAAGTAAAAATTGTACTTCCATTATAATTTATTTTATGATGTGAATCAATCAGTTGCTATTCAAAACAGGGCTCTTGGTTTCACCCTTGTCACAAATGTCACATTTTACATTTATTGTGATCATGATTTACTATAAAAGACAGATAGTCTACTGTCTACCCCAAAAAATTAAAAACTCATCATTTACTAACCCTCATGTCGTTATAATCCTGTATGACTTTTTTATTCTGCTGTGGAACACAAAAGAAGATATTTTGAAGAATGTAGGTAACCAAGCGGTTTTGGTTCCCATTGACTTCCATTATATATTTTTTGTACCATACAATGGAAGTCAATGGGAACTGAAGCTGATTGGTTACCAGCATTCTTCAAAATACCTTCTTTTGTATTCCACCGCTGTTTTACATGCTTTATTTTCATGGAGCTTTGATGCAGACATCATCTTTCTGAGAGGTGTAAAAATGCTCACATGAAATCCTGACTTATTATTGTTATTATTATTATTATTTAGAGGGCAGATTTTGTCATAAAATCAGCACATTTCCAGTAATCATAATCTGTATAGGTTGGGATGCTTTAATTTATTCCAGTCCTTTTTGTTTCTGAAGGGGAAAGTATCGTTCTGTTCCCGGGTCAGGAGTATGTGGTCGGCCGTAAGAACTGTGAGATCTTGCTGTCCAGTGATCAGTCCATCAGCCGTGTGCACGCTAACCTCACTGTCACTCAGCAGGTGAGTAACTCCCCTTATGAGCATCTCCATATAATGATGCCTAAGAAAAAAGGGCATCTTCAATGAAGGGATGTTTGGTAGCCCACTATTTATGCTTTTGTACTTTGTCTCCCTGTCATTCCTATACATTATCTAACAAACCGCAATGATAGGTGTTTGTAGAGCTTCTGAGATAAGAGAATATGAATAGCAATTTTTTTTTTAAACATGCCTTTGACTTTTATGTTGTTAACAAAAGTCATCTTAGCTATGTTTTTCTTTGGCTCTATTAGAGCCTTTCCATAAATATCTCAAAGGCAGCGCTGTGGGAAGTATTTCACTAAGTAATCAAATTTTAATTTACTAATTGTTTTTTATTATTTTGCTAATTACACAGCAGAACCGTAATCATGTGCGTCATTATTTCCCTTAGTCACTCTTACTGCGAATTCAGTAAGTCATTCTTGCTGTGAAATAGGCTACTTATTTGAATTCAGGATGCAATCAATTATATTTGTATATTACTAATAACTTCTTGGAAAGTTTTGAAAAAAAAAGTTATTAGAATAAGGCATAACGGAGAATATTGGTTTTATTTGAATGGCCTTGTTCAATATATAATTATGTTAAAAGACTTTCACATGTCCATGTTATTTATTTTAGTGCTTTGAAAGATCACTCATCATCTTTTAAATAATTAAAGGTGGCATGTACTATAGTAAACCAGTTAAAACTAGGCATGTGACATTATCACATTTTAATATCACGATATTTGCTGAAGCTTTTAAGTTACATTACAAGAACAGGTTGAAAAGATGAGCAAACTTCAGTGCTGTCCTCTTAATAACAAGTTTATAAAAAAAAAAAGAGCCGTTAATATTTAAATACATTTCTATATTTAAATGCATTTCTGCCACCTACATTCAGAGTGTAAATCTAAATTTTCACTGAGTCCATTATGTAGTTCTGTGTTGTAAATTGTGACCACTTGATGGAAAAGATGCTTATGTGCTTTTTAAAAATCGAAACAATTAGGACAATAAGGTACCTTCTACCTACAGTTATTGTTTTTTAAAGTACTGACTATAACAATA